AAAAAAAAAAACCCACAACAACAAAAACCCTGTCTCAAACAACAACAACAACAACAACAAAACAAAAACAAAAAAAAAATAAAAACAAAAATAACCCTGCCAACTTAAGAATGTAGATTTTATGCACCCAAGGAAAGAGCTAACAAAAGCCTAAAGGAGAAGACCATACTGAGTTGCTAACTTCCAAAGTTGTCTTGGGCTCTTCCCATTCTATGTAGAACAGTCAGATATAATGCAAACAATTCTTTCCAGTTCATCTATTTCATAGCTCTATCGTAACTGTTGTGATGTAGGCATACTGCAACATGCTGACTTCTAAACAAAGGATTTGCAGAGATGCACACACACATCCTGGGTGCTTGAGCTTTTAGGTCAACTACTATGCGCTTGGTTTGTGTTCATACGCTGGTTATGCATGAAGCTGCTATTGGTGGGATAGCAGCCTGAGATCGAGATTTGACTTCCGTCAGTTACCTGCTTTTGTTTATGGTCCATCCTTCCTAAACACGGCAGTTGTGTCTCAGTGGAGAGAGCAACAGACTAGAAATAGTTGTGAGACCTTGCACAGTAACTTAATTTCTTTGCCTTCGTTGATTTAGCTGTAAGAGGGAGATACTTCCTAACCTCTAGGATGGTGAATAAGATGGAAAGAAAGGGTTGAAAATATGCTCTATACTACAAAGCTGTCTACATCTACCACTGCCCAGACATTTACTGAGCAGCTAGTATGCTAAAGCAGAATACTGCACAAGATTTCTGCGAGGCACTGAAGACAAAGATGTGCAAATGAAAAAGAGAGTAAAGTCCTCCCCCTCCCAACGTGTATTCTAGCAGGAAGGTAAGTTTAGTTATGAACACAAAGGACGGTTCGCCTCCCCCATTAAAGATGCTTTAGGATTCTGATTCCCTATAGCCTTTTGTGGTATTAAGACTTAGGACTATATGATAAAGGTACCTTTTTTACTGCAAGAACATCGCTAGGGAAATCAGATTTATCTGATGACTAATTGTTGAGGCTTTCCCAGCTCCTCCAGTGAAATGATCACTATCTCTAGAGGCAGAAATTATGTCAACTTAGAGAAGACAGAAAAAATAAAACTCTGTGACAGCAAAGTTTCACAGTGGGTGCCATGTTCAGCAATTAAGGTAGGAGCAGACAATTTCATCTGCGTTGTTTACAGTTATTCCTAGAACTGATCTGGCTGGATCGAATCTGATCATTTTTCAGAATTTCTCATCTTCCTAATAAAAACAAATTGACTGTTCGGCAGGAATATTAAAAAAATAAAAGACGCTTTCCAGGCTTCTGAAGGAATTAGTCTAGGATAAGGCCAATTTCGAGGTTGTGAAGGACAGAGGACCCAAGCACCCTGGTAAACACACACACAAAACCAAAACTGCGTTGAAACCATACCGCAGTCTCCCCAGAACACAAAGTGCTTTCCAAGAGGCCTGTTTAGAAGCCACCAGATTCTAGGAAAGGAGGAACCAGAGAAAGAGACATATACACCCCTAAGACCTCATCCAGAAGTGAAATGCTAATTCTTCTTAGCCCATTTAAGGTGCATCTTTACAGCAGATAGATTCACTTCTTTGTTTGAGTATGTTATGCGCAAATCTACAAGCAAGCCTGACACTGCAGGTCAGAGACCTGACACACCGCCTCCCCAGGAGAAGACTCGAAGACCTGGCTTGGGGAGGGGGTGCAAGGAGAGGAGGGTATTTAATCTAGTGGAGATGGGAGAGAGTGGCCGGGAGACTAGGATTTGAGCTGCGGAGTTTGTCCTCCCCTTGAAGCCCCATCAAATAGCCTCTGCGGATGCCGCATCCTTGGAAGACCCTATGCAGGTCTGAGGTTCTGCTATTGAGCACCAATCACCACGACTAACTCTCAATAATCCTCTTCTAGGAGCTACTTCATCTCCATTTCTGGTCCTGGAGGGGCATCTCTGTGCTCTCATGTGCTGTCATGTCATTCATTGCCTGCCACCACGGTCACCCACCCTACCCCCCAACCTACTAGTGAAGCTTCTTCGTGTTCTCTAGCAAATCTTCAAATCTTAAGCCTCCAAGCTATCATCATCCGCATCCTGCCCCTGTTCCTATCTGGACCGCTTCTGCTGACCCTCTCCTTCCCTTGGGCTGTCCCGTAACCCAAACTCCATCATCCGTCCCTCACCCCCATCCCCAAGCCGACCCTCGTCACTCATCTCCCATTCTTGTCCCTAACTCGATCGCCCCACACCAGGCTCACCTGCAGCCCAGGAAAACGTGGTTGGTCCAGGCGGCGGAGAGAGCGAGGAGCTGGTCGAGGGCAGCGCCGGGATAGCTGTGCAGGTGCCGACAGATGAAGCTCCGCCGCAGAGCCCACTGCCAGTCACTTTCGTGGCTATAGCGCCACTGCTCCAGCACTGGCTCGGGCGGGGGTGGCGGGAGGGGCGGCAGCGGCGGCGGCGGGAGGGGGGGCAGCGGCGGCGGCGACAGGAAGTCGCCCCCCAGCAACAGACGTCCTCCAGCCATCTTCTCTGCTTCGGTGAGGGGACGCCCCCCAGGGACGAAGCCGGCAAACTGGCCGCGAGCAATCGAGGCGGTGGCGGGGAGGGGCGGACCTGTGTGAGGGACACTCGAGACCGAATCTCGGGGGACCGGAGTGTGTGCCTGGGGGCTACGATCACAGGGGGACCGGGAGCAACGATCCCTGTCGCCACGGCGGCCGCACCGCTCCAACTACTGTGGGAACGTGAGGGCTTTTTTATTATACCGGGCGCACACACCGACGGAGTTGAGCTTCGCTACTCCGCGCCTCCTGGGACTTTTAAGACCCACACACTGAGAGAGTAGCGGCAAGAGAAAAAAGAAGCAGCACCAGGACGCCGGCTTTCCCGGCTCAGATGTCTCAGCCTACCTCCCCGCGTGCCACCCCGAGGTTGTGAGACCACGGCGCACGCGCCGCAGCCGGTCTCCAACTTCGAAATCCCGCCGCGAAATCTCGCGTGGTAGACATTTTTTCCCTTCCTCTGACGATTACTCTCCATTGACGCACTCTGGTGACCAGCGGAGGGCGGAGACTCCGGAGTGGGAACTGAAGAAGGCTGTCTGAGGTTCCCTAACACAGTGATGGCATTTAGTCCCTGGCAGGTGTGTGCCCTCAGGCGATTAGTTAGCAGTGATGCCTGGCCTTCTACTCTATCTGGGTCTCTAAGTGGCGCGATTCTGAGGCTACGTCCTTTGGAAAGGATTTAGGTTTCGGGGGATTTGGGATTTGGAATGTTTTTCCTCTTAGCTCTCCGAGATGCCTCTTCAGAGAAGAGTTTGAAAAATCAACGCACCTTTCACCATCAGCTTTGGAGCTGCTTGTGAAAGTGTGGTTGCAAGGAAATAACAGCGTTACTTCTCAAGCCGGTCTTTTACACTCTTCTGATCATGATTGCAGACAGTTCTGTGTCACGTCCATATATATATTTTTTTTGGGGGGGGGCGGGGGCGGGGGTGCTTCTTCAACTGGGTCTTGCGTAGCCGGGCTAGCTTCCTACTCACTATCTAGCCACGTGTAACCTTGAACTTCTGTCCTCCTGCCTGCACCTTCCAAGTGCCGCGACTACAAAGTATGTCATTATGCTCTTATATTTCAGCTTACAAAGGAGCCAAAAGACTAGTTAAAAGCTGCCGGGCAGCATGACGGCCAAAACATTATATAGATTACAATCTCAGTGATGATAATTAACCCTGCATAGATTTAACTCTTAGACTGGCATCAATCGTGGTGTTGGACTCTAGTGTCCAAACACCGAGAAGGAGTCTCCCCCAGAGACCACCTCATACACCATAGCTGATGCAAAAGCATGAGGATTTTATTAATTCTGTCATGACAGGGTCCCTCAGCATTTGGGAAGCCAAGGGACCTCGAATAGCTGGTACAGTCTACTTTTATAGGGGCCACAGAAGCAAGGGGGGTTGTTCTTTGACTATTCTGATTGGCTTATTTGAAAGGGCTATTACCAATAATTGACTGGAGAACTGTTGCCAGATCAGATGAGGTAAGAGGTCATTTTGATCCCGTTTCCCAGGGGACTGAATCAAAACATA